GGCTTACCTTTTTTTCTTGCATTAATATTTCAATGTCTTATAGCTGCACTTTATATTGTTAAATTGTGAATATAGTCCCTTTTCTAAACACTAGTGATCTACAAACCTAGCAGCCCTCCTGGAGACCAACAGCCTTGTGCCGTGCAATCTATCCCATTTTTCAACTCGGGTCATACTTAAAGAAAGGCGAGACTCAAAGGCACTACAAGACTAATGTAGCAGAAGAGACACCTTAACAGGCTCCTTAGTCTTTGTGAGCATCTCTCTGCACTACCCTATCAAGAGAATCTATCACACAGGTACAGCCTAGGATGCAAGAGGTTAGAGAGAAGCACTGCAGAAAGACCTGGGGGTCCTGGTCAATGACAAGTTTAGTAGGATTTACCAGAGACCTCTCAGCCACGAGGGCCAACCCTGTCCTGGGGTGCATCAGACCCAGCATCACCAGCCAGGCAAGGGAGGGGATTTGTCCTGCTCTGAGCTGGGGGGGGCTCACCTCAAGTGCTGGAGAGAGTTCTGGGTGCCACAATATAAAGATACCAAACTGTTAGAAGAGTCAAGAAGAGGGTAACAAAGATGGTGAAGGCCTTGAGGCGAAGTCATACGAGAAGCATCTGACATAACTTGGTCTGTTCAGCCTGGAGGAGACTGAGGCGAGACCTCATTGCAGTTACAACTTTGCCACAAACGGAAGACATAGGGACAGACACTGATCTTTTCTCTGTGGTGACCAGTGACAGGACTCAAGGGAATGGCCTGAAGCCATGTCAGGGTAGGTTTAGGTTGAATAGTAGGACAAGGTTCTTCACCCAGAGAGTGGCTGGGCACTGGAACAGCTCCTCAGAGAAGTGATTACAGCACCAAGCCTGACAGAGTTCAAGGAGTATTTGGAGACTCCTTAAAGCCCTCAGGTACATGGTGTGACTCTTGGGACTGTCCTGTGCAAGGTCAGGAGTGGGATTCTGATGATCCTTGGGTCGCTTGATGATCGTAGGTCACTTTAGCTCAGGGTATTCTGTGATTCATATTTGTCAAAAACTAGACTGAAGCGTGAAACATTTCCCAATGCTACTGATTTTAATTAGCAATCTAAGACCAACTTCTTTTTTTTCCTTGTGGCTCTTCTAAATCCCTGGAGCAAAGTCTATTATCCCAAATGGATTTTTCACAGTAATGCTAAATTGAGCATCCCAAATTTGTAGTACACTAATTTAGCTCAATTTGATAAGTGTTTTCCATCAGCAAGCCTCAAAGTGCTTGAAGGAGAAGCACAGGGCTACACAACATGAGTTTAACTCTGTAGGATTCAGATTTCAGAACAATTCACAAACTGAGTTTCTCCTGTCAGGGTTATTGCTCTCATGTGAGAAAAGGCATCACTAGCAAGGGTGAAGGAAACATGAAAGCTAGTCCAGACCAAACTACAAATACACTAGGGGCAAGAGAGTTCCCAGCATGAAGTCCAGAAATTCGTCTCTCACACCTTTAATATCTTTTGCCATCTGGTGGGAGTTAAAGGTAAAAGCAAATGTGAAATGGAGGTCTTGTTAATGAATTAGTCACACTGCTTACTGAAGCTGTCTGGACTTGAGTACATTTTATCTGAAATATTTTGAACCAGATCAAAAAGCTACATACTCTTTCTTACTGCAAAGTAAAAATAAGCAAGTTGATCAGGGATCAAATTAGACAGTTCCAAAAGCCCTTTCCAGCCTACACCTAGCATGATTTATAATGAATGGTTAAATAAAAATCTAGCAACTTACACACAAAAGGTGATTTAACATTTAGGGCCCTGATTTTAGCTGCAGCCTTTTGTGTCAACTGCTTGAAGAAAAAAAGAACAAAAAAAAAGAACAACTACCTAATACTCAAAACACTAAAATACTCAAGAATCATTTCTGTCCAAAGCAAATGCAGTTCTAAGTCACATTGGAAGCTCTTGCTTTCTGAGTGTCACACAATCAACCAACCTTGCTACTACCTGCTGTTTTTTTAAGGTGACAGAAGTGTACTTTGAATGTTATAGGTGCTATCCTTGTAAGCCCCTTAGATGTCTCACCTTCCAAAGCTGATCCAGATCCACCTTCTAGCAGGTACATGTTACTACTCATTTGCTGTGACAGAGTTATTAAAAAAACAGCATAATGTTACATCATAGAATTTGAAGCAAAATTTCTATAACTTGGTCTAAACCAAATTATGTCATCTTCAAGAGACTTTCAGCTTGTGCTCTGAAAATAACGGGTGCACAGGACATTATGGAAGGCTTGAAAAGGGAAGCATGATACTGCCAGGCCTTAGGACTGGCTCCTGTAAGTAATTCATTATCTCAGGTGCCTCTAAACTCTTTCTCCACAGTGATGGTCAGTTTTGGTACATAATCAAGTATCTCTTGCTGAAGAGGAGATTTTGAGCAACAGGTCTTAAATACATACAAAACCCACACCTAGGCATCCACAGACTTACATGGTGTATACTTCCCAACTAAAATAAAAATTGGTATTTTCCCCCTCTATTTCACTGTAGTTGATACTTTTCTCCCTATATTCATCTCCATGGAATAAGGAATTCTTCTCTGATGGCTCATGTACATTTGAGAAGATTGAGCCTTCACTACCTAACAAAATATACAGGCATAGCAAAAAACCATCATAGTTCATCTGATAGCTACCCTGGCTGTTTCTCTTTTATACTCCTTTGAAACAGCCCTACTTGCTGTCAGTATAAGGATAAAGGAGCAGAGTTGCACAACACACTTGGTTTCTTTCACTTGTGTTCAAAGTTATGCTCAGTAAAAGAAGTTTACTCCACAATTATTCAGCGATGGCAGCATTCTGAACTTCCACCACTCTCCTCCCCAAATATGCATGTACAGAACAGTATATAACAAAGATCGACATTTATGCACAGCACACTGAAACACGGGAAGGGTTTTTGTTTTTAAGATGACACTACACTTTATCACTTCCAGAAGTGGCGAGAAAGCAATTTTCCAAGTCTTTGACTTGCTTTCATTGTCAGGAAGGATACTGAGTCTGGGGCCAGGCAGTTACTCAAAACCAGTAAAGAACTCAGGGATGGGCAGCAATGAAAGCCCTTGAGTTCTGAGGACAGCTGTCTCAGCCAACCTGCAACCCAGGCTTGTCGGTATTCATTATGCTGTTCCCACAGCAGAAAGAAGCTTAAATGCTCATTAAACCTGGAACTCTTCCAGACATTAAAGCAGTATGCTGACTTGTCTAGCCTTTAAGATATGCCAGCAGCATACCACCCACCATTTTTTATGTGTATCACCTCTTCACTGAAAAGTCCTACATCTAGGCCACTTAACTTTAAAAAAATAACATCTGTTATCTTATTACTACTCATGGTTATTCACACAAATATATGTGGCACAAGAATTAAAAAATCTTTATGATAGCACTACTTGATCATTTAAACACAGATGTTCTCCAACGACAGTTCTTCATTCTAACTGATCTTATGATACTAGCTTGCAATAATTTCCAGCAGCTAAATTGCTAAGGAAGACAGGTAAAACTCATTCAGTGCTTTCTCAATATTCCTTAGTCATATAAGCAATTGGTGTTTTACCCTATTCACCCAGCATGACAGTAAATGAAAGGAGATTGCAGTGAGATTCTCCAATCTGCTCCTGCCGCGCTGCATCAATACGCTCTGACTTATCCTCAGCAGAGTGCCGAGCCCTGCCCCAGTTCTAAATAACATTGCCTCCCCTCAGTTTAGAGGTTACTTTTTCCTGAATGAATCCCTCCACTCCATAATAAAAAACAATGCCTTGTATTTCATCTTATTCAGGGCTTTTTTTCTTAGAAATTCACAACAAAACCCACCAACTGAAGTCTGCCTACCTATGCTTTGTGATTTTAGGTGGCAAACATTTACAAATAGGCAACTAAACCTAAAAAGCAGACACAAGAGAAAGTTTCCTAAATCAGTATTTGGCTGATGAATTTACTTACCAAATTTATAGGACACATAAGAACAACTCTTAGCTACTTAATCTCAGTTATTAGTTTACAGACATGGTAAGGTGTTACAAAGCCCAAAGTGAAGCCTAAAACAGGAGCGGAATAAACAGTGGGGAGAAACATCTACAGCAGAGTGCAGACAGTGAAATAAAATCAAAATCCTTACCAACAGAGCTCCTTTAAATCACAGGCACCAGCATACATCTAAAACAACCTTCAACAAATATAAACTACCACCCCCATTTTCTCCTAAATTAGGCAAAAAACTGTGATGGACTCAATTTTCTTCACTCAGGTAAACAGAACTTAATAATACACCCAATACCCTACTCTCCTCCCCACCCCTTTAATGTATTTCAGCAAACAGAACCACCTGGCAGTCAGCTAAGGTAATTATTCCTGCTGCCACCTCCTTTGCATTGCAATAGCTTCACCTGCTCCTTTTAACCTTCCCTGGAACGCTTGGAGATGTCCTGAACCAGGCCTGCAAATTAACACTTCGCAGGTCTCTGATTTGTGTTGCACATGCTCTTGAATTGGCACAATTACATTCCGAGTCTGCAAAAGAAAACACAGCTATTTGCAAGTGACAAACCCAAGTTCAGACTATATATGAACAGCATACATTTCTTGGGTAAGAATTTTTGACGAATTAAAGTACAACCATATGATAAAGCACAGATATAAAATTCAGACACCTTTGGTTTGGTTTTTTATTGGCGGTAGTTTCATTGTATTCACAATCAAACATGAAATGTAGACAGTATGCAGGATAATGTCACAAACCAGCATTTTGAATTGAGGGAATGGTTTTGATAATTGAACCCCCATTTGTTCTGGCCATGTTCTCAGTCTAGAGTACAGCAACCTAGCAGGTTGCTGACCTAGAAACAGCAGCTTCATTAAGTCAAGTAAATGTTTGACATGAAACTGAAGACTCCTTCCCCCCCAACTAATCCTGAACTCTCAGAAATATCCATACATATCTACCAACACAAATTCAAAGTAATCTTATAACTTTTTTAAAAACATATGCCTACTTTGAAAACAAAGGTGTGAGGGACATTAGTGGGATTGGTCGGCAGCACATACAGTTAGATCGGGAATTCTAAAGACTCAGAACTGAAAACTGCAGATTGGATAACTAAAATAGATTGCTTTAAGTTCACTTTTTAATTCAGTATATTATCATTATAAAACACTGAAATATTATAATACTATATTACACTCTCCTTGAAGACCCCATATATTGTAGCAGAGCCATAATACAAGCAATGAAATGGCAGCTAACAGAACTGATAGGCGAGTGAAATAGAAATTAATTTCTATTTATTTGCATTTATATATCAAACTACAGTGGTCTGTTAGAAGTTTGTAACTGGTATTTGTTGTTTTCTTCCCTCCATTTGCCTACATTAGTTTTATCTACATTGCCTACATTATTTACCTTATACATCTTTTATAACTGCATAACAAATCTTACTTGCACTGGTTGCTTTATTCACAAAAATTGTGTTCTTCTGTGCAAACGAACCACAAATTAAAGAGATACTATACTGCGTCCATTCAGGTGGGTTAGTGACATGAAATGTGTCATATTGGAAGCCTTCACAGAAAAGAGTCCTCATTATGAATTGGTATAAAAAGGACCCAGAGCTTAAGGAGAACCAGATTAATGGGGCTTCATTTCTCTGTGTGCAGGTAGATCTATGCCCAGCTGCCCTATGTCCTGCTGCAAATTCTCCTGCAAGAATCACAGAGGTGCAATGCAAACTTGTTTGAGAGTCAGCATCATAAAATTTTCTCAAGCTACAAGAATCGAAAAGCAAATTAAGTCCAGCAAATGTATAGGGGAAAATTTTACTCCCAGATACCTGTCATTCTTCTTTTCAATCCCCAGTATTTTCTGTTGTACAGTAGTTTTAACATGCCACTAATCAAATTTTTATAAACACGTGTTTATATAGTACATGAGTTCAACTCCTGTAAGCTCTTTTATCCATGACCAGCTGATGTACTACTTTTTTTCCTTTTATGACCAGCAATGTTTGCCAGCATTTTCTTAATTAAGAGTTATTTTGCATATGCTAATATGCTTTTACAACAATAAATGAGAATACCATACCTGGAAAGTGGATCTCTCTTCACACTTTGGAATAAGCACTGCCTTTCCCCATGCCACTGCAGAGCAGGGCACTGACAAGTTGAGCATTTAGAGATCAGAAGTTGCATCCGTGGATAGAGTCTCCTGGCTGCCACAGAGTCAGAACAAAGGCAGAAAATACTTTCTCAGATATATGGTTTCTCTTCATACAGCAACAGTTTTGCCAGTGGCAAAATAACTTCCTACAACTATGCCTAGATCAACTGCAGACAACCCCTTTATTTGAGAAATTCCTGCAGAGGGAATGGGCAATTTTTAGGAAGAGGAAAATTGTAACCAATTGCTATAATGCTTTGGGGACTATTTCTCAGGAATAATAGGTCACAGAATGTAGCTAGAGACGGTGATGAGTTTCAAATATCTCTATAGCAACTACATTTATTTTAAAAAAAAGGAGTAAAACCTTTCTGCATCATATAAATAGCAGTGTCTGTCTTGTGCAGTTAGAAGGGATTTTGGTGTAGACTGCTGCATGCTCATCACTGCTGCTTCTTTAAAACCTGCGCTTGCATCTTCTGCCTGCAAAGAAAAATAACGTCTGCCTACAGAGGCAAATAAGTTTTTACACTGGTCTCCATACATTAGCAATGTTTCTGTTAGGTTTAAAGAAGCAGTGCAATTTAAGTATAATTTAGAAAACAAGACTGGTTTATAAGTTAGAAGAGAATTTTTTTCCTAAAAAAAATTATAGCAGACATTTACATAAATACAACAGCATTCAAGTGAATCAAATCACAATTCTCTTCTTTTCCCAGCTGACTGAAGAGTGGAGTATTTCTTTTCTCACCTACAATATAACGCATTAAAACCAAACCCTCATTTTATCAGTGCTGTGCTGGGTTTTTCCTAGTTCACACAGACCTAAATTAGTGCACCCTCTCATGGAGCAAACTTACAGGAAATTGCACTTATGGTAACACAAATATTATGAATAATAAGCAGCTTTCTTAGCTCCATACGGATGTAGACAGGATGTTTCCAGAGCTCAGCCTCACCTAAGGACCACCTTGTCAAGCAGTGACTTTAGAACCTGCAAGTATGGAAGTTGTGAGGTGTGAGGTGAGCTGAGCTGGCGGCTGAATTGCCGGGGAAGCGCCAAGCCAGCTCACGGAGCAGCGCTCACGGCAGGTCAATACACTGTACCGATCTGCAGGGCACAAACTGTTTTCCCTTCGTGGCAGCTCCTACTAGAAATCTTTGATCAGAAGCAGAAAAAGGAACTACAACAGCAGTTAAAGCCATGAGGTGGAGACAAAAGATTTCAGTCACAGGAGATTTAGGAGCAGCTGTTCAAGCCAGGCTGTATAGCTGAGCACATGTGGTTCACAGAAGAAAAGGGCCCACTTTAAAAAAAACCAAGGTGCTTTTAAAGAAGGCTGGATTGTACAGTTATGCCTACTGCACACCACTGAGGAGATTCAGCTTTCCCACACAGGCTTGCTAAACTCTGTAGCTGAACTCACTCAAACTAGAGATTACTGCCAACAAGTAACCTGATGGGTCCAATTCAGTTCTCTGATTTTGGAGTACAAAAATGTTTTCAAAAGTATCCGTGATGAGGGAATTCACACTCATACACACACACACACACACCAACCCCTCTTTGGAGTATTTTTGTGCTTTGGCTTTTGTTGGTTTTTTTGTTTTTGTTTTTTTTTCATTCACACATTCATTTTTAAAATAGAAATCCACCTGTAAGCTTTGGGTTCAGCTACTTTTATCATCCCTGAGTACTGTACCACTTCACTACAACAAAAAATGAGGAATTTGATCCAGGACAGAAGATCTATTTAAAGAAGTATTCACTAATGAAAATATTTGTTTTAGAAATGACTAAAAAACATATTTCTAACATTTCCAGCATATATAGTAACTTTGGTCTAAAGAAACAAAAAAACTTTGGTTTCAATTTTGCAATACAGAAACATACAATAACTTAAGAACAGATGTCAAATGGACATGCCCAGAGTATTAAATAAATTCAGGTCTAGCTCAAAAAGTATCTGCATTGGCTGAGAGTTTATCACAGCCTCATAACTTATTTATTGCACCTCTGAGTTTTGAAGTATATTCTGATATTTGACAGCTAAAAGAGGTCCATAAGCCCCTAGCCTAAAAGGAATTTTTTTTTTTTCTAATAGCCACTCTGCCCTGGAAAGAGCTGGAATAAAAAACACAAGTAGACCTGTCTTCACTGCCTTGTATGGGTCTACAAGATTTTGGAAACATAGTTGCATCTGAATAAACTACTTTGTAATGAAACTACATGACTTTTCAATCTATTTTTTAAATAACTTGTAGATCACATTTTGAAGCAAGAAAAGTAAAATGGTAACTGTTGAACAAGTAAATTCAATCTCACAAATTTTCAGAAGTCAGTGAACAACCTAAATTCTGGAAAAACTATTTTTTAAATTTAAAAAGTGTTTAAACATTTTTTCACCTTTCATTATGATCCTAAAGAGCAGCATATCTTTTAGTATATTCTCAGAGCTGTACAAAATACAGAAGGAATGCAGACTGCATTTTCGAAAACCAAACAATATAAAAAGAACCCAGAGACTAACAATCTGCATTCAGACAATTATTTTTTAATTTTCCAATAAAATAAAGCCTCAAGAAATTTAGTTTGAAGGATGAGGATTCTTATTTGTTTTCATCTCTGCTACTTTTAGGAGGCTGAGCCTCCCTTATGAGGTTTTGTCCTTTGGGTTGGGGTTTTTTCCTAGGTTTTTTGGTTAATTTCTGGTTCATTTGTTTGTTTCTATCCACTTCCATACATAGTATATTGCTTCACAGCACAAGACATTTCTGTTCAGTAAGACAGATTGTATGTGATGGGTAATCTATACTACTGTCTTAAACTATTCCAAATGCTGTTTTCAGACCTCAGATTGATGTTTCCACAGTTACTTTGATTCAATAATTACCAGTGGAATTCCTTTTTACCATTATTTCTTATGTGGACCCAAAAGCAGTAAAGGCTATAAAGCTGTAAAAGGAAAAAGTTATTTTAAAAACTTCAGTACCAGAAGATGTAAACCAATGAACTCTGACATTAACCAGGAGACCCAAACAAGAGATCTGGACTTTTCCGAGGAGCATGATAATACAGTAACAGAAAATAACCAATTATTCTGCTAAAGGCACTCCAATATTTTCTTCTATTTATTCCAAAATTGTATGTGTTTATAGAAGGAAGTTATTTCCAGCACTTACTCCCTTTCACAGCTGGTATTCCTATCTCAGGCATTCTCTTCAGATTGCTTTCCTCAAGTACTCCAGGCATAAAAATATTTTAGAGCAACAGAAGTCCTCTTCATGAGAAAAATTATGCTCAGGAAATCAAATTTATCTTTTAATCATATAATAACTTGTACACCCATCTAGTTATTTTTAGCAAAAGTCACTAGGAATATGTCACTGCCAGTCTAGATATTATTAAAAACAAACAAACCACTGTATTTGCTAAAAGAAATATAGTCACAATCGTTTTAAGAAAACTTTTTGCAACATGTAAAAAAGCAATTAGCTCTATGTTTAATTACTCTCTTAATCAGATTCACTTGCCTACTTAGCTTTGTATACCTTGCAGCTCAAGATCAGGAGTCTACTAAGCAGACAAAAAGAAAAAACATTAGTTTTTTGGTAGTTTGGTCTATCACCAGCTCTTCAGCTTATGATAGCTATCAGAAAGATCATATGCGATTAGATAATGAGTTTGTTTTTCCAAGGAATTCAAGTAACACAAAGATAACAAAACCAAATTCATTATGCAAATTTAATCATGGTCTTTGCCTCACCTTCATGAACATTCTGTCTCTAAAAATGCAGGGAGAATAGAGAAAAAAATATTTTACTCCTTTAAATATTGGAAGTTTCTCAAAAATCACAACACCGACCCCACTTCAACCATTTAATTTGTCAAACATTGGTTTTCTGGGCCATACCTAAAGCTGGTGCCCTCTTGGAGCTCCTGGGAACAACATTCTTGCATGGGGCCACTGGACAGAACCCAGCTTCCAGCCCCAGCTTCTCCAGGGCATTCTTACATATACACAGCTCTACCCACATGTGTTGGTGATTTGGAAAGACAAGTGCCATCACCCCAATATTCCCCACTTCCTCTTTCTCCCACTTTATACACTGAGCATGAGGCCATTTGGTCTCAAATATCCCTTGGGTCAGTTGGGGTCATCTGTCCTGGCTGTGTCTCCTCCCAGCCTCCCATGCACCCCCAGTCTCTTCACCAGCATGGCAGCTCAAAAAGCAGAAAAGGCCTTGGCTCCGTGTAAGCCCTGCTCAGCAATAACAAGAACATCTCTGTGTTATCAACTCTGTTCAGCTCAAATCCAAAACAGCCCCATACCATCCACTGGGAAGAGAATTAACTTTATCCCAGCCAAAACCAGCACTCCATCTCAAAAATTTAGTCACATGCTATATTCTTTCCTCTGCCCAGTTGAGATCCATAGGTTCATGTTACTGACTGAAGCCTCCATTGATTTACCAATTATTAAACAGAAGAGCACTGAACTGCTTCCTCATTTAACCTGGAGGAAGGAAGAGCTGCTCCAAAAGTTCAGACCCAAACCATACCTGTAGCTAGCATGGAAGTGATTCAGCCTTGTGAGCTGAAAAATCAACATGGTAGAAGCAATAAGCATGAGGGTAAATAGAATAGTTAATTTAGTTGTGTAACTGTTCAGGCCTCCACTATTTTTCCTTTCCTCCTATACATTCACACATTTGAAGTGATCTGAAAACATGATGTATTGCAGACTGTTTTCAAAACTAAAATGTGACTGCATATGCACAACAGGCATGCACACTAGGCAAGGGAGTCAAAGATGGAAGGATCACACTCGTCCTTCTCACAGAAACTAAAATATATTATGAGACTTATGCAGTTCATTTTAGCAAGTTCAGTTTAAAGCATTCATAAAAACTCTCCTCAGACAGTTAAAAATCTGCAAATGTTTAAAGAAACATTATGCTCAGAACTCCCAGTACTAAAAATACAAAGATAAGAAAAAAGCCAATATATTACTTAATGATTCTACTGCTTCACTGCATGTAATTGCAACTTGGATGACCATGCAAGATGTGACCATAGTTTGTACTGCTTATTTCCCTTAGTTTTATTAGCCCTCCTTTCCTTAGGGTTTCAGTGATCCTGAAAGTAATACTTGACCTCCCCAGGGAAGGTCTTAATGGTGCTTCTACGGAGTTGGATTTTTGTACAAACTGTTCAGTTAATCCTTCCTTTCACTTAGGCAATAGCAAACAGTGTAATGGAAACACAGAATCACAAACCCTACTGCCTGGAAATTCTCTTCAGATACTGAGCTCTTTTAATCACTTCTTTTAATAATGACCACATGCAATATAGGTGCACAAAGGTAAGTATAACAAAAATAATTTGTGAACCCATTCTTGAGTAAATATTGATCATGTGATATTTGTATATGAAACCTTTTTCTTGCAAGAATATTTTAGTTCAAATAACTGTTGAACAAAAAATTGTATAGCATGGAGGAAAATACCAATAAAAAGCACCACTGACATCCAGAATAATAGTAATGATTTTTCCATATATGTTGCACATAAAACCTCAGACTGCAGTCTTTCTACTTATTTAGGTCAAGAATTTGTATTTTAAATTGATTAGAATGTTGTAAATAATGCCAGTATTAAAATTTCTCACACTTCACACAATGTGTTCTAGGATAAATTACACATTCACTTATTTTACATAGCTATATGTGAGAAAATAGTACATAATATGAGGTAATTTTCTGATTTTTAAGAACTTTTGGTGAAGCAATCTTTCTGTTCAAGTTTTACCTGTCAGTTTGGAAGGAAAATATTATTCCTTTTTGGTTTATTTTTTTCTTAATGTCAAGATTCTTCCAAGGAATAAAATTCTAGAGAAGAGTGACTACTCTTTTTTCCCCCTATTCTTTTTCTGTTGAGTAATTTCATTAATATTTCACCTGAAGTTGCTTTTTTTTGTATAGAAAAAGCCTCCTTCCAAACAGGCCTTACAATATTCCTCCTTCCAGAAATTTAAGACAGATTATTTATTCTGTATCCTGTTTTTTAAGAATACCTGCTTTCAGCATTTTTTTAAAACTGGGCATTGTTTGTCTTCTATTCACAAATCCAGTTACCCTTCCTTGATATGGAATAGTCTTTTACATTATTTCATGTTGCAGTGTTAAGTTTTCTTTCTGCTGAGTTTTGCTTGGCTTGCTTATTTAAGTCTTCCTGTCATCTTCTGATGATGTGTCAGCAGGTCTTTTCATGGAGGGGGGGAAAAGAGTCAAGAAGCAAAAAGTAGCTTCAGTCTCTACTTTGAATTAAGTTAAGGTGCAGACTTCTTGTTTTCCTGCCAAGACTAAGGCCTTCTAGTAGGAGCTCAAACATAAGAGGCACATTCCTCACTAGAACAGCTGAAGCATCATCATTCTTGTATGGCATCAGCTGCAAAGAGAGCTAAGAAGAGGCAGCTAAACAGAGTTTATGAGTAAATACTGGGTGACAGGCAGATGCTGACACACTCAGCTAGGTTTTCATTTTCATATCCCAAAATAAGTCTGTGAATATGTACAGATAGGTCCCAGAAGTCATTAACTCAGCCAATTTTGACATATGAATACAAGACTTCACCATAGACACTGATGTTCTCATAAGACACAAAGAACTAATATCCTAAGTTAGTATGAAATGACCAGTGCAAACAAGCACATTTTTGATATGGGTGTCTTTCATTCTGTCTAAAAATAACACAACACTGACTCCATGTTTACAGTAGGCCTCAGCATTTCAGGCCCCAGGCAATTCACTGTTTGCAGTTACAGTTAGACCTGCTCTTACAAACAAAGTGTACTCGTGCTCCTCATCGCCACCTCAGATGTCAAGCTACCCTATCTCTCAGACACTCTACCAGCAAAAGATTTCAACAAATCCTTCTTTATAATTGTCAGTTATGCTGCACACATCATGAGAACACAAGCTGAATTTCTGCCTTGGTTCTCATTTCCCAGGCTGGCCTCTTTCTGTTCTCAGGTCTAACTTTGTTTGATTACAAGGACTTAGGAGTGAAGATTAGACAAGATGACCTGCTGAAGAGTTGAGATGACCTAGAAGTACTGACTCACCAGGTTTTCTTGTCAATGATGATTGCTCAGTGATGTCAGCCTCTTCTTCTGAAGAAAGTGTTTCACTCTGAACAAAACCTGTGACATCGTATATTTATGTGAATTCCTCTAGGACAACATCTGCTCCCACCCTTTGACATGCTGGTGGAAATATGGAACTGGACTTCTAAAACCTGCTTGAAAAACTGAAAGGGAGGTAACTGTGATTCTGTATCTTGCTAGGACACACAGCTGTCACTACCCACTAAGCATCTATCTCCTTCTACTACTGTTTTGAGAGAGTTTAACCAAAGGTGACTTTCTTTTTCCCAAAGACTGTTTGGAGACCAAAAAACTCCAAAGAAATTGATGATGAAACAAACAATGTGATGATAAAAGACCATCACAAAGGATATGGGAGCAATTTAGCAGAGCTGGGTAGATAAGAAGAATGGAAAGTTGCAGCTGATGTATTTGTGTAGTTAAATCCAGAGTTTAAATCACAGCCAAAATTCTAAGAAGAGGAAGAACTCCACAAGTTTTGCAATTCTATGAAAAAACAGACCTTACGTTGAAGTGCATTGAGGCAAAACCTTTTTAAGTGTCTTCATTCAACCAGTCTCTGCAAAACTGTTGATCTCAGGTGCTTAATTTTCTGCTACTTCCTCTCACTGTTGTGATGCTTAAGTGTTTTTCTCTCACCCAGACATGTAATTTTGGAAGAAGGCTGTAGAGAGAAACCAAACAGAGAAAGAAAAACATTAAAATCCTGGACATTCACATAATCAAAGAAATTTCCCTATGGAGATGGTCACATAAGTAGCCTGGCATTTCTCACTCCAGCTTTCTTTTTCCAAAACTTCATTGCTTCTGTTACCCCTTCCCCTTATTTAATTTCTCTTTTTCAATGTGCCCTCTAAACTTGTTAACAGTATAAAGGTATGTGCTACTCCCCAGCTGCTGATATTTCTGGTATGATGCTTCTTTTGCTCGTTGTTGGCTCTGCTTTGTCTAGTTTGATAGTAATTACTTATCAGACCTGCTGTTATTACAGTTCAATAAAATCAGTGAAGACTCAAAAAGCAGTAAGATGTATGTGCTGCTACCCAACTGACTGTGGGTACAGCAATTAGCAACTAAATCAGACCCTGGCACTTATAAATTTTCTATTAAAAGAGTCATTGGGAATCAGATCTTCAAGACAGTCTTGTCATTCCAGACAGGTGGTTCAAGCCATTTTCATTTTTATTTAATATGTATACAGATGAAACAAGGGTTACATAGCAATGCCTCGGATCAAAATACAGTGACTCCCAACACAGAAAATGTTAAGTGCCTTAAAGAAAATATGACAGGCCAAAAAGTTCCTCACCATATTGTTAGCATTTCCCTTTTTTGGGTTTGACACAGAACAGAAGAAAATTTTAACTAGCATTTAATAAAAACCTTCTGTAAACTGTTCACAGAATGCAAAAATTTCATTCTTTCAATTTAATAGCTGACACAGCCAATTAAAAAATCTTGGTGAGCAGGAAGATAAAGTAGTATGAGAGTTTGCTAGTGGTCAGATTATTATAACCTAAACAATTACATTCTGGTGAGGGTTATCTGGTGAGGGAATTTTCCACACTGCAGAGATGAACATGCCAGACACCTTCAGTGGACCATTGCAGATATTGACTGTTCAGGCTACTGTATATCTACTACACATTTTGCCAAGAATACTCAAAAGAACTAGCAAGATACTAGCAGATAAAAATGGATCATGAAGATGTGAAGGGTTTCCAAACATGTTCTACTACATTTACAATATTGTTTCATTTTGGCTTTGGTTATTCCTTGTCTAAAGCCAAATTAACACAGAAAAATAATGGCATGCCTTTAGTCAGTTAATACACTCTGAGTTACTGCATTAGATGTCACTGTCATTTAGAGGAATAGTACAAGTCTGGTCTAGGTGGGTTTAGAAATTAATAGCTTAAGGGTGAATAAGTTCCTTATAGCTCATCATACACAGACACAGTTCCATTTTCCTGATGTTTGTTAAAGGTGACAAATAGAATGACTGTTGGCAGTTGCACTCCATTCCCCATAGAACAAGAGTCAAATTCAGAATATATGCAATAAAAGAATGTTGCCTAAGAGTAGTACTGAGTTTGACAGGTTAAAACAATCTCAGTAGTGTGATAAATAGGTATGATTCATGCTGATAAAAACTGAAACAGTAATCAATATTAATACAGTAATTAATATTTGAGAATAATAAAATAGTTAAAAGTTGTAATGCCAAGAAGAAAGGGAAAGGAGGGGCTCCACCCCCCCTTCCCAGCAGTTGTTCTCAAGGACCACAGGAAACAAGCTGAAGATACAGTTGCTAAAAATGAGCAAGAACCTGGTTGGGTCCCAGAATAATGCTAACTAGAAGGGATTTATTGCCTTGATATGTAGATGCAGTGATACGTTAGTCTTGGCTTACATTGTACTGGCTTGGTGCGCATGTGTAACACAAAGGGGAATTAAAGGACAAAGAGGAAGAGGAGAGGTCTTCATCCAAAACAACCCCAAAGACTTGTGTGACCACCAAACCGAGTGGTGGTGCATGCATGATAAGGGTGGTAATGAGGGCGGAGACAGAGATATGACGAACCAAAAATGGGAGGAGATGGCATTGACACGTGGCATATAAGGGGTGATTTTCACTTGGCAAGCTTGTACGTGAGGTGGCAAGGGTTCCAGAACCCTGCCCTCTGTACCCCGCAGTTATCTTTTGCTTATGCGCTATTATTGGAACCAAATTATCCCTTATTTTAATCAAGTTATATTGTATTTTTTTATTGTAACTATTCAATTAAAATTGCTAGTTCTTTTAGTTTTGTTTGAGGGTTTTTTTAATGATGGGATAATTGGGCAAACATAACAGTAGAATGGCAAGGACAGAGCAAAACAAAATAGGTTTCATAAAGGTGCCTACAGGGCCTAGGGACTATAATATTCAAGTGACAGAAGTGATGGGAAATTACCATACTGCTTCCCTACAGCAAAAAAGTTCAGCACCTGCCTCGCCCACACTCTGGTTCCTAACATAATAATTGCTGCATAAAGACCTTGTTATAACACAAACTCCCATGTTAATGATAAAGATGGGGTGGGTAACTCTTGCCCTGTAAAAATGGACTGTATGTTGCATACTGAATTTGCAAGACATCAGGACTGATCTGTAGTATTGTGTGTTTTAAGGTATTTATACAGATTTTGTTGCAAAGTTTGTTATTTTTTATAAATTGAGATAATGGTTTGATCCTCAGCTCCCCCCATGTTCCTCCGTCGCAATGGTTTGTCCCTGAGTTGTTTCTCCCTTGTTTTCACACCCTTGGCATGCCCGCCAAGGTGACCGATCCCCTGTTCCTTCCCTTTACATCCTTATAAGTTTATCTCCTCCCTCCTGGTGCTGCCCAGTTTCCCTGTCCATCATTGTAACCATGCCCCACTTTGTTTCGAGAACTTTCTATGTCAGTTATCCCTTACTTAAGATATGATTTGTCTCCTGAGCCTTTTCCCTCCCCTGTGCAATCCTTATTGGTTAAGTTGTGTCCCACGCTCCTCCCCTGGCCTTCGTTTATTGGAATCCCTTGTGTCTTCTCCTGTCATGCCCATCCCCTTTATCAGTGCCTCCCCAAAGGGTCCTTCTCTGACACCATCACTGGTCCTGGCTGGGACAATAAAGCACCTTGGCACTCCACACGAGTGTCCGCCCTCTCCTTCCTTCGCCTCAGAACTTCGTTGCCAACCGCCACCCACGCCACACATGGGACCACTACCCGGGGTTCTTGTGAAGAACCTGGGACTGGCAGAATTTGTGGTCTCCTCCAGCCACTCTGAGAACAGCTAGCCGGCGTACGGCCAGCTCCTGTGGCTGTGAGGCAGGCTAACTGAGCCTTATCTAGCTTTATCTATTGAACCTTTTCTTGACCTGCCTGCAAACTCTTTTTTATTTTATAAGCACTAACAGCACTTTTTCACAAATGATCAGGCTAATTTTTTTTCTATCTGTGTGTCCTGGTTCAGGGATAGCCAACCTAGGACACTGTGTTATCTTCTACAGTACAAGCATGGTTTTAGAAAGATAGAAATAACAAGGATTTCCATCTAGAATGAGACATTTATGGATAACCTAATACAGAAAAACAGACCTGGTGCAGCTGCAGTGAAGAAATATGGTGGAGCAGAGAGGAGTACAGGCATGAGAAAATAAAAGATGGTCTGGAACTGAAACCCTGCAACTATGAACTCAACAATGGTCACTAAAAGAAAAGTGAACAAAAGGGGGTATAGGAAATAAAAAAAAGTCATATCCAACACAATGAATGCTATTTCCACCAAAGGCTGAGGAATGCCTGTAGCACCTTCACCAACACCAGAATGAAACCAGTGGACGTATGTCCTGGAAGTGTCAGGAAGCTTATCAGCTTATGCATTTAAACTTTTTTTTGCATTATTATTATTATTAAGCTTTTCTGCATACATGTAATAATTGCATTTGGACAAGTAATGGTTGTAGGATTAGTCTGTTAAGATTCCAGTTACATTAGAAATAAATTCCTGGATTTATGTGAGATGTCTCATTTCTGCCCACAGACAAAGTCTGGAGGAACAATAGTTGGCATTTCTACCTACACAGTTTTGAAAAGAAAAAATTTCAAAAAAAGGAAAAGAAAGGTCATCCTCTGCAGAGTAGTTGTATCTAACTTATTCAGTAATACTTAAAAGGGAAAGCAGTTATTCAAGTGTTTTTCTTACTCTCCCAAATACTTCTCTAACGTATATAAATGAGACTAGCTCTAATTTTGAGAACACAGTATTTTGTACTCCTTTGTGGTATACTGGTTTATTCTCAAACAAGTTAAGAAAAACATTATAAAAACCCTCCAATGTCAGAATGTCGGTCAGTATGTCAGAAAACCTACTACTCTTGCTACTAAGATTAGGTATATTTATTCACCTTTTGTACTTATTTCTTCTAATGTCAAGACTGTTCATCACCCAAAAATTATCATCACCCATGATGTTTACCATTCTAAAAACTTCACTGACTACTACCATACTTCTCAGCCTTTATCTTGCCAATCTAGAAAGCTTTTTTAACTTTCCCATTCAGAGAAACCTTATTTTTCCATAGGACCATTAATGCTTCTTTTTACTCATTTCAGTTAGACTCCATCTGTCCAAGACATGAATAAGAACTGATAGTCTATCAACCTTAAATGTTAATCCTTAAGTGTTTGTCTTGTCCGTTGTACAATTAGATTTACTGTTTAATTACATCATCCTTTAGTTCCTTTTGTTCACAGTCCAGCTTCTTTTCCTCCTGTTGCTCTCCACACTTACTTGAGGATCAGTCAGCAGATTGTAAGAATACATTGAGCAGTACATTTAAAAAGTGTACTTTTTATATCTTACGAAATCAGGCATAAAATTACAAAAATATTAAATATTATCTGTTCCAACCTCATGTTCAGAGGAACCTGACTTGAAAGCTCCTTTTATTTTGATCATTTCCAGTAAGTATAACACTTCCTGCTTAATCTGTTTCATACATAACTTCCATGTTTTATTTCCTACCTTAACAGCTTCCAATCTTAATCTGACTACCATGTCAAATGCTTTGTTAAAATCTATACATATCAGTCATCTGCAGTTTCTTTTGACTGGCCAATCATCCTTCCAGTC